TCTCTCTCTCTCTCTCTCTCTCTCTCTCTCTCTCTGTCCAGTACTAACCTGTGAAGTTGGCGCCTTGATGCAGGTACCTCGAAGATGGAGCTGGAGCTATGGCGCCACAGGTAAGTACCGCTGGCCTCCGCCAGCCATCTCTCCCAACTCCACGATCTACCACCTAATAGCGCCCAGCGGTGAAGACTACAGCTATGGCTATGGGCGCCCGACTCCAAAGACTACTACTAGCGCTAATACTACTGCCTAGCGCTGAAGACTACTGCAGTGCTCCTCCTGAGTGCTACGGCCGAATCCTGAAGACTACTCGTGCCTACTGACAACTACCTACCCGTGAAGTGCATGGAAACTTCGTATGTACTACCGGGTGTGCCTCTTGACTCGGGCCAGCAGCCCAGGAGGCTGCTCTTGCCAATGCCGAAGGAAGGCAGGGGCTGCAGCTGCAGCTCCTGCTCGAGCTGGCGTGGGGAACAGGCTAGAAATAGCCTGTTCCGAAACCCAGTTTTCGTGCCTGAGTCTTAGGGCAGGTCGAAACAAATGAGGGCCTGAAAATGGCCCTCCGTTTCAGGCTGGAAAGCCTCTGGGCCTGAAAGGCCCAGAAATAGTTTGGAAACGGAATAGGGTATGCAGGCCCTTGTTTTTCAGCTTTCGGGCAGAAACGATCGGGGCCTGTAAGCCCTAAGTTTTAGGCTTTTAGGCTGAAAGTGCGGGACGGGCCCTGCAGGGCCCGTGTGGCTACGCAGTATGCCACCCCCCCCTCTCCTTCAAAGACCGAGCTTACCTGCGAGGGCGAAGCTGTCTGTCTGAGGGAGGGACCACAGTCCGGGTTGGAGGGGCAGGTTGTGGAGGTCCCTTAGCTAACCTTTGTCACTCGTAGTGAGCGTAGATCAGCGGTGCGGATGCTTTCAAATCTGCTCCTGAAATCCACCGAGTGTCGTCGGGATCGCATGCTCTGAATGTAACTTTGTACTGGCGCGGCTTGCTGCCGTACTTGCGATCCGTGATGACGCGGTCAACTTCCTGATGACCATCCATAGAAGGAGGGTCCTGCGATCGTCGACCCGGGAAGTCGTCGCTCTTAGCTGGTGTATATGTTGCCAGCTTCGAAGCGTGAAAGACTGGATGAACCGTCAGATGCTCGGAAATGTTGATCACAAATGAAGGGCCATCGGGCTCATCGCTCGCGGCTGCTGTCCCAGACCAAGGTTCAAACCACTTGGGAAGCAGTTTGCGTGAAACATCCTGTTTCAGTGCAAACCCTTCCGCGGAGACCCAAACCAGATCACCGACGCGGATGGGACATGGCACGTGACGCCTGTTGGCTTGCTTCTGCATGCGGACTTGAGCCTTTTGCATGTTCACGCGGGCTTGAGTCAGCAATTCCCTGTACTTCCGGACCGAAGCGGGAGAGCAAGCGGCATCAATGTCGGCTGGTCGAGGGAGGAGAAGGTCGGCGAAGATACGGCCTTTCCGTCCACCGTGGTGCAACTCGAATGGAGTCACGTCGATCGCTGGGTGCACCGAAGTGTTGTAGGCAAACTCGATGTCGGGGAGGCGGTCAACCCAATCTTTCTGGTCTGGACAGATGAGCGTACGAAGCATCATTTGAGCGGTTTGATGTGCCCGCTCCATCTGCCCGTCTGTCTGTGGATGCCGAGCCGAACTTGGCTTCATCTTCGTGTCGGACTCCTGCATGAGAGCAGTCCAAAATGCCGACATGAAGCGAGTGTCGCAGTCGCTGACTATGTCTTCTGGTACACCGTGGCCACAAATCCAACCGGTGTGCAGGAGGCGTGCCAGCTTGGGAGCCGTGGAGTRGTACTTGCAAGGAAGAAAATGCGCGTACTTACTCAATCGGTCCACAATCATGAGGATGCCGTCGTGCCCGAGCTGGTCGTGAGGGAATGGACCGGTGACGTCAATGGCAATGGAGAGACCGGGTTCCCGTGGGATAGGCATCGGGCGTAGCTCGCCATAGGGATTGAGGTTGCGGGGTTTGCTGCGTCGGCAAACTTCGCAAGAGTCGCAATACCGAGTGACATCAGTAATGAGGTCGGGCCATCGGAATCGTTGTCGAAGTCGTGCAATAGTGCGGTTGACTCCGAAATGGCTGGCGAGTCGCGAGTCATGGAACTCTCCGAGAAGGTGAGTCCGAAGACGACGGTCTCATGGGACACACAATAAGTCCTTGCCTCTCGAGTGGAGGAGCAAGTACCCGTCGACAATGCGATAGTGGCTGGCCGACGGGTGATCCGAACATAGCTGTGCATATAACGTGGCAAAGTCCGGATCGGACTCATATGCCCGGATGAAGTGTCGCTGAAGCTCCTCGTCGAATGCAAAGGCATGATGTGTCATAGCGCAAAGATCAGGTCTTTGGGAGAGTGTATCTGCTGCGCGATTTGAGAGGCCGAGAAAATGTTTCGATGTGAAGTCAAATTGGTCGATGAAGTACATCCATCGTCCGATCGTGCTGCTCACCGTACCCTGCGTCTTGTAGTAGGTCAATGGATTGTTGTCCGTAACCCATGTGAACCTACGCCCGAAGAGGAAGTGCCGCCATCGCTTGAGAGTCATGACGAATGCGAGCAGCTCCTTCTTCCTTGCATCATCAAGCGAGTTGATGGGAGGCACTTTGTGGCTGAAATACTCCACAGGGTGCCAGTCGTCGCTGTCGTGTTGTTCCAAGACTGCCCCAATGCCATACCCGGAAGAGGCACTTTGTGGCTGAAATACTCCACAGGGTGCGAGTCGTCGCTGTCGTGCTGTTCCAAGACTGCCCCAATGCCATAGCCGGAAGCGTCCGTAGTCACTCTCGTCGGCAGGGTGGGGTTATAGATGCTAAGGACGGGTGCCATGAGCATGGCCGTCTTAAGTGCTTGGAATGACCGACGTGCGTCGTCATCGAATATGAATGGCACCTTTGGCGACTGTAACCACATCATAGGTGCAACAATCCTGGAATATCCGGTGATGAATCGCTGATAGTAGCCCGCCAATCCCATGAATGAACGAAAGTCCGTGGTGTTGGTGGGCTCGGGCCATACTCGTAGGGCTTCGATCTTGTCCGCAAGCGGACGGATGCCTTGCGGCGTCACATAATGTCCCAAGTACTCCAGCTCCTGTCGCGCGAATTCGCACTTGTCATGGTTGGCTTTGTACTTGGCTTGTCGTAGCCGCTCCAAAACGGTGCGCAGGTGTTCCACATGCTCCTCCAAACTCCGACTGTACACCAGGATGTCGTGGAGGTAGATAAGTACGTATCGATCCAGCATGTGCCGGAACTCCGCTGTCATAGCCGCTTGGAAAGTGGTCGGGGCATTCGTAAGGCCAAATGCCATAACCAACCATTCAAAATGCCCATATCGCATCTTAAACGTGGTCTTGTAGCGATCTCGAGTTGGTGATATCCCGACTTGAGATCGAGCTTGGAGAAGAACTTGGCGCCGCCCTGTCGCTCAAGAAGATCGTCGATGCGTGGGAGAGGGCCGACGACTTTGATCGTCTACGCGTTGAGCTTGCGATAATCGATGCACAACCGCAAATCCTTGTTCTTAATCCGGACGAAGAGAAAGGGAGCACCGTATGGCGATGAGCTAGGCCGAATCCTGCCATTCTCTAGAAGGTCGTCGAGTTGTGTCCGAAGCACACTTAACTCTTCCTCGCTCATTCGGTAGATGCAACCGCGCGGAGGTACGGCCCCGTCCTCGAGGATGATCTCGTGGCTGATGGGTCGATCCGGTACTACTCCGTGCGGGCCTTCGAACACGTCGCTGTAGGCATCGAGAAGTTCGGTGATGCGTGGATCCGAAGATGAGTCCATCGATGACACGTCTTGGGGCGGGAGGGCGTGGAGAAAACACCCCCCCATCTCCTTGATGTCGTCTCTGATGATGGAAGCTCGGATGCTTGCGGCGGATACCACGTGACAACTGATTGAAGGGTGAGGAGGAGCTACCGTGCATGGGACTAGTACTCCATTCCGATCACGAATGTGAACGGTGCGGAGGTAGAAGTTCACCGGATGGTCCTCGCTTCGCAGCCATGACATGCCCAAGATCATGTCGAATTTGGT